CAGAGGATGAGTGCATTATTTTACAGGATTCTTCTTAAATCTAGAAAATTCTTTAGGCTACAAGGTTCTGGCTGAGCTCCACATCAGTTATGGAATCACTTCCCATTTGAGGGAGCCACTCAATCTGCCATTTTCTTCACCAGAAGCTCCCCCATTTACTTTTTGTATAGGAATCTGGCAGGGAGTGTTGGAAATGATTTTTATGTGACTGTGGCATGTGGCAGTATTGAAATGGACACAATTGTGCCAAATTTCAATCTCATGGGAGTAATGGGTCTCAGATTTTAGATATACTCTGTAAGTTAGATTTTAGATATACTCTGTAAGTTAGTTCATTTAAGGTACATTGGTTGAAAATTGTTTCCCTCTGAAGTAGCATTTTGCCCAATTGAATGTCACAAACAGGCAAACAGGAGGATTTTAGTAATATACTAGAAAACCTGTTCCCTGTTGGGTTGTTGTTTCAGAGATATTTCCTTACCAGATTTCTTCAACAGTGACAGAGCTTCTAATGTACTACCTTCACTGGAAAAATTGGGATACATTCAGAGATGTTTCTGCCTTGAAAATAGTCCATGAATAGCACAGTCAAACATGAGCTATATGAAGCACAGAAAATGTTTTATGACATTTTGAATTATGTCATAAATAGCTTTATGATAATGTTTATATCATCAAATGTTTTATAACATTTGCCAAATTTAAATTCCATAGGAATCTGAGATCTTGGATTTTCGAGGCAGCCTGTAATATAGTCTATTCAAGGTATCTTGGTTCAAAAGGCCCTACTATGGTGCATTGTTTTCCCAGTTAAAGGTTACAGGAATCAGAGATTAATGCAAAGCAAAAAAAAAAAGAAAAGTAGTTTGATTCGGTGACAAGGCTATTATAGGTCAGCATAGAAAATCAGATCAATATGAGGCTGCAATAAGTATGTCATTCTGTCTCTGTTACAAAAAGATGTGATTAGATTGTCTAAAGAGTCAGACATCACGATCAGTGTAACATATAAACACAAATACTAGATTTTTGGCATCTATTAGGAATATAGTTTTGTCAACATAGACAATTTAATTGTTGAACTCTATTTGAGGCCACACAGACAACAAAATCTTTTATTAAAATGATGAAAGCTAATTTCATATTTGTACACAATATCATAGGTTTCCCAAGCAATATGACATCTCCCTTACATATTAAACTACAGTTCTTTTTATCTCTTGGTAAACGGATCTGAAAATTTAGTTCTCTGAATTTGATGGTGACTATGGCCCAAAATATAAAGAAGGAACCAGATAAGAGAATATTGCAATATTGTATTTCTAAGATTGTTTTGCCTCGTTATGAAGTATATAGAGCCAATTAATAAGATTCACATATATTGCTTCACAGGCTTCATTTTTTCCTGAATGCATACTGTATTTTGGTGAGAGTTATTTATTAATCAAATTTGTTTGTTGGCAATCTCTAGTTATCATCTACATATTCCTCTGAAAGCAAACAAGCAAAAAAGTTTTTCCTACAAATTCATCTCCTTGAAGGACAGAAATAGGATTGAAATCCACCTCCTAGATTTCTCCTGGCAAATCTCAAAGACACTTTTCCCTCTCTCTCTCCTTCTTTCCCTGCCAAGGAAGGTTTGCCTCTGCTCGAAGGGCAAAATGGATAGATGGTTCCCTTTTTAAAACTACTGGGAGAGGGAGGGGGAAGAATCATCCTACAGACCCTTAGCACCCCCTTAGAAGTTTAGAAGCTTGACAGGGAAAGAAGCAGGGGAGGAGGGAGAGAGGGAAGAGTGTCTTTGGGATTTGACAGGAGAAATCCAGGAAATCCTATTTCTGTCCTTCAAGGAGATGAAGGTGGTGAGTGCATTTAAGGGGGTGCTAAGGATCTATAGGATGATTCCCTTTCTCTTATGTTTGGATTGGAAGGTTTGCCTCTGCTTGAAGGGCGAAATGGATAGATGGTTTCCTTTTTAAACTACTGGGGGGAGGGGGGAAGCAGCCCGGCCAGTCTGTATTCCTAGGGAACAGACAGAGGGAATGAGAATAAACATAAAAGAGGAGGAAAAGGTCCGGGGGGGGGGGTTGGGTGGCTGGAGCAAGAGGAGAGCGCCCAACCGTGCAGGTGATGAGACCGTGACCTGAAGCTCTGGGGCGAGAAGCAAAGCGAGGCGTGGGGGGGAGAGAAATGATGGCATCACCCTACCGCCACCGCTTCCGCCCACCGAAGCCTGAATGATTCACCGACTTGCAGGACGTTGCCGATGCAGCTGCCGTCAAGCAAAGCAATGGCCTGTGGGAGGGCAGGTGGTTCTCTGCAGCGGGGGCTGTCCTGCCACTGTTGCCACTGTTGTTGGAGATGAGGCTGGCGAGAGAGGTGCCACCACCGGTGGGAACTGTGGAAGCTAGGGAGGCGGTTCCTCTGCCCATGAAGTGGCTGAAACTCTGCCGGTGGAGGAATGTGCTCGAACCATTCCTCCAGCTGCTGGAAGGGCCACTTCTCTGCTACTGCCACGATGTCCAGCAGGGAGTCCAGCCTCTGCATCTTGCCCAATGGCAACACTCTGAACGCGGCATAAGCTGTGGCAAGGGCAGAAGGGAAAGCAACAGTGGCGGAGGAAGTGCAGTGGCGGGCGCTGAAGGTCCCGTGATGCAAAGTGCCCCGCTGAGGCTGACATCCACACCGTTGCCACCCGCCCGCTGACCTGGCCTGCAGCCAGCAGCATACCTAGGTCTGCAGCAAAGGTGCTTGATGGGGGTAGGGAGCTCTCCATGCTCCACCATGATCGGCCGTTAGGAGCGGCTGGTGGTGAGGCATGGATGCCCGTGGGGTGCTCTAGGTGAGGATGCACGGGAGGGGAAAAATTAAGTCACCCCCGAAAAGACGGCCTAGCCGTTTTTTCGGGGGTCAAAAGAAAATAAGGCCTGGCCTTATTTCTTGAGAAACACGGTATTTATGATGGCTGCAATGTCCCAGGGTCATGTGATCATCTTTTGCAATCTTTTAACAAGCAAAGTCAGTAGGGAAGCCAGGTTCATTTAACAACTGTGTTCCTAATGTAACAAGTGCAGTGACTCACTTAACAATTGTGGCAAGAAAAGTCATAAAATGGGGTAAAGCTCACTTAACAACAAATTTGCTTAGCAACAAAAATGTTGGGTTCAATTGAGGTTGTAAATCGAGGGCTACCTGTTTATCTACATCAACATTTGCTCATAAATGTGCGTATTGGTCAGAAAAAAAATATTACTGTGTATTACTATCATATTTTTGAATGATCACTAACCAAGGAAATTATGCAATGAGAGTGGCTATAAGTTCAATCAATTTCTCAGATATGTATTTAAAAAACTCATTGACACTCATATTCCTTGAAGTGCATCTTCACATAAGAAGAAGTTGGTTACATTTTGCTTTGTGGACGTTTTATAGAACTAAAAGACTGTATGGCCACAGAGTCCCAAAACAGTTCTCAATAACTGAATCCCCAAGATATTATAAATACCAAATTGGAATCCTTTACAAACTATTACTATAATTCATAGTGTTTTGCATCTGTTATTTTCACCATCTATATGACTAGATATTCTTCTCTTAATGATGAATTTTATTTTAAGAGTGGGTGTGATTCCAATGACATTACATTGCCAGGATTTTAGGATTTTTTTTAAAAAAAGAAGCACTTGCATGCATCTGTTATGTATTCTGCACTAAAGAAACATTCCTGTGTGTGATTTTTTTTAAGGCAATTGCTATGGTTACAACCACATTGTAAGGTTCACTCTCTGACATTTTGATTATTATCCTTTGAACCATTAATTAAACATATTTTTTTCCCATGCCTAAACAATTGAAGGAGAAATGTGGGTGACTGTTTGGTAGATGAATAATTTAAATTTACTCACTGGTCTTTTCCTCCTACTGCAGGGCAAGCTGAGCAGAATTTTGATCAGTTTGTTTCCTTGCAGAACTACAGATATATGTCATTTTTTTTCCAGGAAGGGGGTAGATACTTAAATTGAATTTTTAATAGATAGATTATTTACAAAATAATTTTCAAAAAATCTATGATCTCCAAATGCTTAAAAATATTGTAAGCTACTCCCCAGATGATTCCTTCTACTTACCATGGGAGAGGCATTGCCTAAAGTGCCTCTAAAAAGTAACTTCCTTCTTCATCCTTCTTAAGAAATGCAGTTGTGACTGGCAAAATGGAGAGCATGGAGGTTCCTTGTAGACTTTTCTAGAGTGTCAGTATAGGTAGCCCTCGACTAACAACAGTTTGCTTAGTGAGCATTCAAAGTTACAATGGCACTGAAAAAAGTGACATGCCCATTTCCCACACTTATGACTATTGCAGCACACACACACACACACCCCCCATGGTCATATGACTTACATTTACATGCTTGGTGGCTGGCTCACATTTATAATGGTCGCAGTGTCCCAGGGTCACTTTTGCAATCTCCTGCCAAGCAAAGTCAATGAGGAAACCAGATTCACTTAACAACCGTGGTACTAATTTAACAATTGCAGTGATTCACTTAACAAATGTGGCAAGAAAAGTTGTAACAAATTTCTTACTTAGCAACATAAACATTGGGCTCAATTGTGGTTGTAAGTTGAGGATGGCCTGTATGTGTCAGCAATTCTCGTCATCTAAGACTGAAGATTTTAAATAAGTTTGGCCAAACTATAATTATCAATCGTATGTGAAATACCTTTCAGGTACTGTGTCATGAGTTTTAATTTTTATTAAAAATTTATTTTTAATTCTCACGTATTAGTACTAAACTATTTTTTTTTTGTAATTTTATACAGAATTGCTTATATGACAGTTGGATCAAAATGGAATCTCCTTTCTCGGGGGGAGGGGTTTATATTTGAAATAGACTTTCTACAAAAATATTTTATTGAATAAATGATCTGTTTTTCTCTACTTATGCAATTACCTTCTTCATTTTTCCTTTAGAGCTTACAATTTCTATTTTATTTAGGAAATAGCCCGTTATCTCCGTCCTGGCACCCTCCGTGCTCGCTTTGGTAAAAACAAGATACAAAATACTGTCCATTGTACAGATTTACCAGAGGATGGACTTTTGGAGGTAAGGCTAAGAAGAACATTTTTAAAATTATATTAGATTATGGGTTGTTTTTTTAAAGTAAACAAATAAAATGCACATACACTGCTCAAAAAAATAAAGGGAACACTTAAACAACACAATGTAATTCCAACTCAATCACACTTCTGTGAAATCAAACTGTCCACTTAGGTAGCAACACTGACTGACAATTTCACATGCTGTCAGTGCTTTCACTCTAGTGGTAGCATGAGACGGAGTCTACAACCCACACAAGGGGCTCAGGTAGTGCAGCTCATCCAGGATGGCACATCAATGCGAGGTGTGGCAAGAAGGTTTGCTATGTCTATCAGCGTAGTGTCCAGAGCATGGAGGCGCTACCAGGAGACAGGCCAGTACATCAGGAGATGCGGAGGAGGCTGTAAGAGGGCAACAACCCAGCATCAGGACCGCTACCTCTGCCTTTGTGCAAGGAGGGACAGGAGGAGCACTGCCAGAGTCTTTCAAAATGACCTCCATCGGGCCACAAATGTGCATGTGGCTGCTCAAACAGTCAGAAACAGATTCCATGAGGGTGGTATGAGGGCCTGACGTCCACAGGTGGGGGTTGTGCTTACAGCCCAACCCCGTGCAGGACGTTTGGCATTTGCCAGAGAACACCAAGATTGGCAAATTCGCCACTGGCGCCCTGTGCTCTTCACAGATGAAAGCAGGTTCACACTGAGCACATGTGACAGACGTGACAGGGTCTGGAGACGCCGTGGAGAATGTTCTGCTGTCTGCAACATCCTCTGGCATGATCGGTTTGGCAGTGGGTCAGTAATGGTGTGGGGTGGCATTTCTTTAGGGGGCCGCACAGCTCTCCCTGTGCTCGCCAGAGGTAGCCTGACTGCCATTAGGTACCAAGATGAGATCCTCAGACCCCTTGTGAGACCGTATGCTGGTGCGGTTGGCCCTGGGTTCCTCCTAATGCAGGACAATGCTAGACCTCATGTGGCTGGAGTGTGTCAGCAGTTCCTGTAAGACGAAGGCATTGATGCTATGGACTGGCCCGCCCGTTCCCCAGACCTGAATCCAATTGAGCACATCTGGGACATCATGTCTCGCTCCATCCACCAATGCCACATTGCACCACAGACTGTCCAGGAGTTGGGGGATGCTTTAGTCGAGGTGTGGGAGGAGATCCCTCAGGAGACCATCCGCCACCTTATCAGGAGATGCCCAGGCGTTGTAGGGAGGTCATACAGGCACGTGGAGGCCACACACACTACTGAGCCTCATTTTGACTTGTTTTAAGGACATTACATCAAAGTTGGATCAGCCTGTAGTGTTTTTTTCCACTTTAATTTTGAGTGTAACTTCAAATCCAGACCTCCATGGGTTGCTAAATTTGATTTCCATTGATAATTTTTGTGTGATTTTGTTGTCAGCACATTCAACTATGTAATGAACAAAGTATTTAATAAGAATATTTCATTCATTCAGATCTAGGATGTCTTATTTTTGTGTTCCCTTTATTTTTTTGAGCAGTGTAGAAAATTATTGGAAAATTATTATAAATTATATTTAACATGACAAATGTTTTTTAAATAATCCTCTCTCCCTCCATGTATATATTACAGCTAGCTGGAATGGGAAATTTTATTTTGAATTAGCATTTTATATAATTAATTGTGCTGAATGTATCAGTACAGTGGTGGGTTTCAAAATAGTTTACCACTGGTTCAGTGGGTGTGGCTTGGCGGGTGCACTTTGCACGCGCACACACACATTTTGCACACGTGTGCCAAATGTGCATTTTGCGCAGGCGCAGAGGCTTTCTGACTCACCTCCTGCAATCCTGCACTCTCCCTGTCACTTCAGCAGCTGACGCGCGGCAATCTGCTGTGCCATGCAAAGGAGCTGCGGTTTAAAAGCAGGAAATAAAGGTTAGTATAGTACCCCAGGCAGGCAGGTGGGCCCAACAACAGCTCCTCAGAGAGAACCGGTTCAGTCTCTGCTGATCTTTGGCGCTACCAGTACGCCAGACCGGGCCAAACCGGTAGAATACCACCACTGTATCAGTACAGTGCATGCTCCTAATACTCCAGAATACATTTGTATATTCCATGTATCTTCTAGTTCAGGGGTGTCAAACTCGGTCTGCAAGTTTGACGGTTATAGTTGTATAAGGATATAAGCAATGGTATATTGTCTTGGAAATTAGTTTCTCAAATAGAGAAACTTGCATAGAACAGTGTGACTATTCATAAAGTAAATCTGAATTTTGGTAGCACTTGCCAAAATACAAAAATATTTCAAAAAGAACAACTGCTGTCCTAACAACTCAGGTACACCTTCTCTACATTTTTGAAAGCACTATACGAAAGCCTTGATTAATCAAAACCACGATTGATTTTGGTTACCTATGGATCAATCTGATGATAACCATGGCATTGTAATGCTGTATTTCCTTTTTTTCTATCCTAACTTCTTTGCTTAAAAATCTTTATTATTAGTTAATTTTATTATAATTTTTTAAAAAAACTCATTATTATGGTCATAGACCACGATAGAAAAGGTAAATTTTAAAAGCTAAAAAGAATATAAAATATGCAAAGTTAAGAAAAATCAACACATACACATGGTATATATAAACAAAACCATATGAAATATTTTAAAAACCTTATAAAAAGAGACATGAAATATACAGTATAAAAATATAAAAATTAATACACGGTTAACTAAATCTATCAATACAAAACTCAACTAATAAATCAAATACTCATTAAGGATGGATTGAGACATGGATTTTGATCACTGCTGTGGACAACCTGGCAATAATGTGTGTATGTTGTGTCAGTGTCTGCAAGCAGAAGGAAGGTATAAAATTGTCTGGTGTGCTCTGTATTTCACCAATACAGTATTGGTGAGATAAGGTTAGTATCAATGGTTTGTCTTCAGATCATATAAATCTTTCACTTTTATTGGGTTGTTTTTTTTGTTGCACTTTGCATAGTGTTGCTTAATTCAAAAGGTACACATGTATGTACATAACAATATTGCTACATTAACTAGAACTTAAAATAAATTTACTTTTGTTGATATTGTAGGATTGATACTATAGAATTATTTATTATCTAAATAGGTCAGATGTCCCCAATTTTTGTTATGTATTTGGCAGTTGGTTTTGCTGGATAATTAATCCCCAAGGAAAATGTCATGACTTGCTATGCTACCATAACGTCTAATGTGATTAGCATGATAGAGCTGGATTTTTCAAGCTTTCTAATTCTTTAATTTGCATTCTATTTTAATATTGTGAGCTTCATATAGTGTTGCCTTATTCAGCCAGCACCAAAAAAGGTGCTTTACATATTACATACAATATTTCTCATCTTTCAATTGCACCTCATCCAACACTGGCAATAAATGTATATATAATTGAAGTATTGAATATTTTTCAGATTTCTTGATGATTGAAATTCATTATTTGAGATTCTTTGCTGAAATAAATATGCAACATTTTCCCCTTACTTGTGTCTTCAGGAAATGTCAGAAAAATGTGGCTTGTGTTAAACACAGGCACTTCAGAATTTATCCTGGATAGTTAAAATATACTGTGGTACTCACTATCGTCTTCCAGTTTGCGATTATGCATTAGAAAGTCAAGTTTGTCTAATTGCTGATTAGGCAAACTTGTACTATTTTCAGTAATAAAGAAGAGGCTGACGAAAGTGAGGTTTTTGTCCCCTTAACCAGGATCGAAAAGCCATAGCTGTTTTGTACAATTATTGATTCAAAGGTTGATTAAATGAATAAGTTGGTCATAGGACGCTTAGGGTTAACTTCTCCAAATGGGTTGAATTTCGTTATGGACTACCACAACTGCTAATAATTAAAATGGCAAGACAGCAGATTGGAAGTTACAGATTTTTTACAGCACATATGATACCAGGTAGTGGTTTAACATGACCTTTATTAACATTCAGCTTTTCTCAGTGGAAATAAGTTGAAGTGAAGCACTCTGGTTAGTTAGGTTCAAGATAAATTAAGGTACAAGGACCGGTCTGGTGAAATAGGAAATAAGTAATGAAGTAGAGGGTTTTCTGTTTGAGCGGAGGATTGAACTAGAAGACCTTCAAGGACCCTTCAACTTTGTTATTCTGTTATGTAGAATTTGGACTGTGTGTTGTAGTTGAGCAAAGTAGTTCTAGGTTCAGGAGGATTGCTTTGAACATTATCCTGGATCAGTCTTGCAACTCAGTTAAAATATGCAAGGATGGCGAGAGCCTTGACACCAGGAAAGTATAAGAAAGTATACCTCGAAATCATGTTTATGTATGTGCATGTATTCTATATTCTACACACACATCTCGTACATATGCATATTGATCATCAGCAAAGCTTTCATTATAGTCTGACCCTGAACTCTTGGCTTTTTCCTTGTGAAAATGATTTCATTTAGCAGAGCGAAGTTAATAAATAACTCTCACATGACTGGAAAATAGGAGCAGGAATTAAAATGCTAATGGCTTTCTCATTATTAAACCATTTTCATTCATAAAAGTTGAATTGCTATTCTATTTCTTTTTTTAGTATCATTACACTAATGTCACGTGTATTTCTAGATCATCTTTAGTTTACTGAATCAAAATATGTATCTTAGTATCTTTTGGATAACATTTTCAGTTGAAAGTCACTAATTGCACTTTGAACTCAATGTAGATTCCAGAAATGACTGATGATTTAAAATTTGAAATATCCAAAAGAAGTGATAATATTTGGGCTAGGAAATTATATTAAGTATAATTATACATAACAGTAAAAATGCCTCTATATAATAAATCAGTTTAGATAATAAAAATACAACTTCTTATACAAGAATATTCCAAGGTTTAGTATTATTTTTAGATAAAAAATAAACTGATGCTGTAGAGAAATGATTATCCTTTTAATTCTAGTCCTGATGTGGAATATGGTTCTTTGGGAGAAAATTAGTCATCTGAGCCCGTGGAAGCAGCTGGCTGTTCTGTCTGCCATCC